GGCTTATATTAAGCTTACATTTCTAGTTCCTTGGGATGATAAACTAATGTTGTGAGTCTATTGTGCAATCCTTAAAAATAACTTTGAAGTTGTTTCTGGCATTTCAACAGGTTGAACTCCAAAATCTTTGGTTGTACTGAGCGTTCTCAGTGGCATTGATTCTTTTGAGAATTCACTTAAAATAGCATCAGTAACATAAGCTGAATGTGTTGATAATCACTTTTAGATTCAGCTATGACTGCATAGCAACAGCCAAAGGTGTCTTGCCTTTGTGAATCTTTCCTGTGTTTTTCATGGCAAGATCTAAACTAGAAACAAGCCAAGAACATTTACTCTACCGTTTGCTTACTGATCACTACAGTCCTGCTAGTTTTGTTTTGTTTTTTTTTCCTAAAAAATTCTAATATGCTACCAAACTTTAATTGACCAACTTTCTCTTTTATTTTTATCAGCTCTAAGGGAAAAAAATTAGAAATGGAGCAACACAAGTTTGAGTCATTCCTTTAAATATGCAACACTATTGAAACTTTCCACACACCATTACTCTTTGAAATCCTATCCAGTCCAAAATTATGAATATTAATTATTTTATCCTGTGCTCTATGCTCCCAAAATGTTTTACACTTGTATTTAGTTAATCCTCATAAAATCCCACTGAGGCATACAAGTGTTAATATTCTCATTCGGTAGCTAGAGAAATCAAGGTTCAGAAAAATTAAATAATGGTATTGGTAATAGAACAGCCAGTTGGAAGGTGAGATGGAAAGTCTGGATAGCCATTCTCTTTTCTGCAGCTCACTGCCCCCCTAAGAAATGTTCATGGCACAGTGTTCCACTGGACAAATTTTTCTTCCTGTAATTCCAAGGCCAAATTGGGCTCAAAACCCTTATATTTGTTTATAGGTCGGCTAAGTAATCTAGTATAGAATTTTTGAAAGGTTACTTAAGTTCTCTATAATTCAAATATCTTTGTAAAAATCTAAAAAAAAAAATACCAATCCAGAAAGCTGAGAAAATGGGACTAAGCTAATTCCTGCATCAAAGACTGCTTAACACTGTTGAAGTGGTCAGAAGCCAAATGTCAAGCTCAGCCAAGAAAAAATCTGCAAACACAAGCGAATCAGTTTTCCCGATTCTTCCTTGTTTTCCTGCTTCTTCTCTCCCAATTTTATCTACCAGCATTTAACCAACAAAATTTATTTACTCAGCATACCCATTACTGGGAACCAGTTATGTGTCAGGTATTTCATGAAATACCAGACATATACAACCATAAACAATAAATTCACTCTCCTTGTCCTGTGGTTCACACTTTGTAGGAGAGATAGATCTATAAACAAATAGCTCAACCTACAATGTGCTACCTACTGAGACTGAGTTGGAGGAGATTAGGTTGGGAATGCTCAAGAAGCACCAATTAACTCCGCCTAGAGAACCAAGGAGTGTCCACCAAGGAAGCTCCTTCCCAGCCAGGTCTTCAGTGGGTGTGCAGGAAGGAGTGTGCCAAGGAGAAGAAATAGCACATTCCTAAAAAGTGGCATTCTTTCTAAGGATGCTTACATTCTAACAGGATTTTAAATCATAACTTGAAAGAGCAAGTATCATTTTCCTAAGCTGACATCTTCTCTGTCACTTTCTCCATATCACAATCTATATTTAGCTTAAGTCTAAATAGTGAGGGGTCAAAGAAAGAACATATGGAGAAAAGGTGGGAGAATTTAAATTTGCAAACTCCAAACCAAATTCAAGGTCATTAGTGGGATGGGGGAAAGGGTGAGAGAAAAAGGAGAAGAGAGAAAGAGAAATAAAGAGAATATAGAATGAAATGAGAGAAAAGCCAAAATTGACATTAGTATTCACAAAATAGTTCTCTTAACTGTGATTATAGTTGGGTCTTATAAGTTTATTGTATGTGACTGTTAATGATTGTGAGAATGCTTTGTGAAATTAAGAAACTATGTAAATGCCATGATTATTAAGGGCCTGAAGAGGAGGTGGGTTGCTTTCTCCCTAGGTCCCAATGCAGCTATGTTCTGGAGCTATCTGAAGAGAAGATAGAGATGAGAGGAGGTCTGGGAAGATCTGAAAGGGTGTGTGTGTGTGCATGGGGGTGTGACCTCCTTCAGCTCGGTTGCATTGCAGAATTTCCTGTGCCAGCTCAGCCATAGCCTGTCTTTCCTACAGGATATCAAGCTCCGAGTTTACAGTTCCTATCAGGGAGTCTCTTTGTTTGAACAAAGCCTCATTTGTTAGGAAGTGTCACAGATCAGCGTGTATCAGATGCAAGATTGAATGTCCCTCCAGCACAAAGACATGCAAAGCTATGCCAGGATACCAGCAATGGGGCTTTTCACCAAGAGAAAACAGATGGTCAGAGTGAAAAAGGCCAGTCATTATGGAAAAGAAATTCTTCCAACCAGCTCCCCACGCCCCTCCCCCACTCTTTCACTCCATTGCACTGACAGGGAAACATTTGATATGCCGCAACATCATCTGATGTTTGTGTCCTTTTAATTAAACCAAGAAATCTGGAATAGGGATGCCCTTGTCTTTGCGGAGAAATGATTTCAGAAAGAAGATAATAGAACCTCTTTTTCTTCAGGCTTCCAAGAGGCTTGTGTGTAATTTGTCCTTTGCAAGAGCAATCAAAGATAACCGGTGTGCAATTGATTACGGGCTTTGTGTCCTTTTAATTACTTGTTTCTACACACTGGTTTAGTTACATGCTGAAAGCAGATCTGTCTGAGTTCTCTCTGAGCTGTAGTGCTTTCTTTTGCTTACATGGTTTAATAATAAAGCTATTAGTAAGCCATCACCAATAGAACAATGCTATCAGACTGGGATAGATCTTGAATCTTGCCTTTCTTTATTCTTTCAATAGGCTATTAGATGTTTTTTTTATGGAAAACAAGATTAAAGAATGCTACATCATTGCTTAACTATGGAAAAATATTCTAGAGTTTCAGGAGGGTAAAGCCACAAAGTGAGTTCTGAGGACAGGAAAGTTAGAATTTATGTATCAGGTTTTAAATATGTTTTCTTACCTTTAATTGACAAAAACAAGTATTTATTTATAATTTTCTTTTGAGTAAACACTAATCTATAGACTTATAAATGGAATTACTTTGAAAAATCATTTTTAAAAACCGAGAAAGCACAAAGCGTGTATCAAGCATATATCAAATTTTCATTGTATTCAATATTAAAGTCTGTGAAATCTATAAATGCCTGATGAAAATGTAGAAACAATTTTATTATTATGTTATGTACACTAGAAGCTAAGGCAATAAAAAAAGAAGCTTTACAAAAAAAAAACACCTGATTAAATATACTATTAATTACTTACTTGCTACTTACTCTTGCCCTAGAATATGATATGAAAAAGAAAGACTAACAATATATATTAATATTTGCTAAGGACTCTAGACCCAGGGCCATTGCTTCAGCTTTATCAAGTCTCCATACACACGAATTCCCTAAAAATGGTGAAACTGCCCCAAAACTTTGGGAAAATCTGTGAGTCTGGATCCTCACCATCTGTCCTGCTCTCAGACATTTTATGCATCACTTCTGCCATGGAAACTGATTTACAGGCATGTCTATCAAGTGTGCAGCCTGTTCTCCATGACATGGGAAATCTAGAAATTTACCTTCTTTGAGACATGTTTCCTTCTGGCAAAGAGCTTCTAGTCTAGGCAAGGAAATGAGTCTTGAACAAATGTAATAGTCAGTGAAATGTGAACCTCAAGAGGTCAAACTTGCAGTAAGCAGTGGCACACACCTGTAATCCCAGCAGCTCAGGAGGCTGAGGCAGGAGGATCAAAGCCAGCCTCAGAAACTTAGTGAGGCCCTAAGCAACTCAGTGAGATCTTGTCTGTAAATAAAATACAAAAAGGGTTACAGATGTGGCTCAGTGGTTAAGTACCCTGGGTCCAATCCCCAGAACGTTAAAAAAAAAAAAACTAAATTTACAAAAGGAGAAGGAAATGAGTACTCAAAAAACAGATAGACAGATGAGCCAGATATGATAGCACACACCTGTAATACCAATGTCTTGGGAAGTTGGGGCCGGGAGGATTGCAAGTGCATGGCCAGCCTCAGGAACTTAGTGAGACCCTATCTCAAAATACAACATAAAAGGACTAGGGATGTAACTCAGTGGTAGATTAACCCTGGGTTCAATTCCAGTGCTCAAAAAAATTAAAAAATAAAGCAGTCAGAGGAGACCTTATGGAGTATGTGAAACACTGTGCTGAACTATAAATGGGTATAGAGCACATTGGGAAAGGCAAGGAATCCTGCTGGGGAAGGAGGGTAGGAAGTGAGTATGGAAAATTGATCTCTGAAGGTCATAAAAGAAAACACTAGGGACTGGGGTTGTAGTTCAGTGGTAGAGCGCTTGCCTGGCATGTGTGAAGCACTGGATTCGATCCTTAGCACCACATAAAAATAAATAAATAAAATAAAGGCATTCTGTCCATCTACAACTACAAAAAAAATTTTTTTTAAAGGAAATTCTACATTAGATGAAAGACAATCTAGGCATATCAGGCACCAAAATCTACTCCATATCTAGGTACCGTGCTAGCAGAACTTCATACTTAAACAAATAAAATAGCATTGTTTACTGGGCATCTTTATCTCACACCCAGTATCCTGTATTGTCTTGTTGATAGTTGTAATGCACATGCCTCTGGCATGCCTCTCCAAGTTGAATATTAGTATTACTTGATGAATGCTTTTCCTTTCTCCCTTTTTCCACCTACTTTCCTTCCAACTACTTTCTTTCCAACTTCTTTCTTTCTTCAGCATTTTATGTCTCCATTGTCACAAAATTTCATTGAGCTTATAATGGATCTCTTTGCAGTTTTACGTTATCATAGTTCTTCTACAAGGTTCAGCCATTTGTACATTTCTTAAAACAAAGGTTTGGTTTAAGAATTATGCATGGAATTCATAAAATGCAGGATTTTTATATAAAAACCACAACCAGGCTGATCTTTGAGAAAACATACTTAAGCATGATAAATAATACTTAATGAAATACATGTCTAAGCACTGAACTTATATCACTTTACAATTTAGTTATAAGCAAAACACTATGTGAGTACAGAAGCGGGAAATTAGCTAGTATATGAAAGTGCATTTTATACAGATCAACCCAAGGTAAAATATAAATGTTCTTTTTGTGCAAAATCAGTACTCTCTATAGTGTTACCTAAAAACAGACAAGTTTCCTATTTCTGTTCCTCTTCGTTTGGCGAATCCTCTTCTAAATTATTTAGAAATGCAGTATTTCTGTCTTCCTTCTTGTACAAAAACCCGATCTACAGAACATGCATTGTTGGTGGGCTCTGATGCAAATCGCCTCGCAGCAGAAGCCACTCTGCCATTATACTCTAATTTGCAGCCAAGCTGGCTTTCAGCTGGTGCCTTGTCCTTGGGCTATCGTTCACTGTCAGGGCCTCTCCAGGGTGTGCCAGCTGTTCTCCTGACAACAGAAAAAGAGGGAAGCAATCATATGTCACCGATTTTCAAGAAAAGCCTGCCTTGACTGCCATTGTTCCTCTTTGGTTCTGCAACCTAAAATCATGCAGCCATTATTAGGGCTGCCCCTGGGTGAGCTTACAAAGTACAAAATATTTTCCTCAACTAATATCCATTTTCCCTTTGCCTCTACTCTTTCTCAGTCCTCAATCCCAGTAATTCCTGTTATTCAGGCTACCCTCTCTGGGTAAGAATTCAATCTATAGATAAATACTTCTCACTTTTAAAGGCTAATATTTAACCCCAAATATGCATTACATGTACACACACACACACACACACACACACACACACACACACACACACACACATCTAAATGCAAGGTATTGCATAAAGTTTCAGGTATCTTTTAAAATTCTCCTTGAAGCCAGCCTAGGATAAGAACTCCTGTCTCAGAGCTTTCTAATCTAATTCATAAGGAAATATTCAAAAAAGATAATTTAATATATTGTTAATTTTTTAAATTTACTTTTTTAAGAAAAATGTCAATAAATTAACTGATCATAACACCGGTTAAGGGCCAGGTCCCACTAAAAGGAAATATGGGTTTTTTCTCCCTCACCTTCTGCTTACACAACTACTGTTGATACAACTGAAAAAAAAATTGTTAAATTCTGGATATGACTCATGGGAATCCTGAAGAGATATTTCATATGTTTCTTCTTTGGGGGGGGGGATTTCAACTTGGAAGAGGTGAAGATTTTCTTCTCTTTGGATCTGAGCACTGGTTATCCAATTTTAACTGTTGCCCACTGCTTCCCTGGGATGATGTTTTCAAGAAGTACCACTGTGTCCTAAACAGCTGCAGGTGGTGCCTGTTCACCATGGACAAGATTCTAGAACAGCCAACTTGAGGTTATATATCCTTCTGGTGGCTTTCAAAATTGGCGTGGCCTTCTCCAGGAAAGGAAAAAATAATTAGATTAGTAAGACTGTATCACAGATAAATATATACACAAAATCATTAAGAAATGATTGAAGTCTTTTTTTAAAACTACAACATATTATATGGCAGCCTTTTCCACATATCAAAAAGTCAGTAATAAGTTTCTCATTTCAAAGCACAGTCTTGCATCCCATTATGACATTTCAGTTGATGCATATAGGAGAGTGGTCCCATAAGATCATATAGCCTAATGACATCACAGCTGTAATTATACTCCATGATGTTTACACAATCACAAAATATCAAATGATGAATTTCTCAAAGACTGTCACTACCATCAAGTGATGCATAACTGCATTTCCTAAGATGGATTGACTCTGGTGTTAATTGATGCTACCTGATAAAACTTTTAAGTGATTCTCTCATTCTGTCTAAAAAATTGAAAAAGTGAGTGATTGAATTGGATCATACCTTAGAAATGTTGGATATTTGTTAGACCTTTGAAAAGAATCAAACCAAATCAAAAAATAAAAACTTTGGAGAAGTCTGTGTGTGAGGGAAGATAAGACTATGTTATTCTAAAGCAGAAATTATATAGAATATTATCTGTGTGCTACATTCCCCTCTTTGCCTACTTTTAAAATTGCTAGTTGATTATGACATGTATTTCTGCTTAGCTCTACACAGTCTCAGAATATTTCTTTTTTTAATATTTACTTTTTGGTGTAGATAGACACAATACAATGCCTTTATTTTTATGTGGTGCTGAGGATTGAATCCTGGTCCCGCCCATGCTAGGGAAGCATTCCACTGCTGAGCCACAATCCCAGAATATTTCTAACACAGGTATACAAGCATTTCTATCAATTGTTTGGAAGATACAGATAAGATAAAACTCACTATTTCTGTGCTACATCACTGATAGAAACACCCAACCATTACAAATGCAATAAAAGTGCCTAAATTTTATATTAAATGTCAATGTATCCCCATGCCATGTGACCAGAGTAGTAGCTATAAACCAGGGACTATGGGCCAAATATGTCCTGCCAACTGCTTTTGTAAATAAAGGTTTATGGGAACAACATCACACCCTTTGGGTTTTGTATTATCTATGATAATATTCCTTGCTTCGGATCACATATGCCAATAACTAAACAAGCCAGTTTGGATTGGACTTTTCCACTTTCATTCAAGAATTGCATATAGTCTAAAACTTTGGATTCTGGTTTGGCATCCAAGGACTCCAGAATTTTTCATATGTGAAATAACAAAGTAAAATTCTATGATAGGCTTATATATTCCAAAGCTTTCTGTGTTTTTCAGAGCCATGAAAGTATGCCCCCAATACTGGAAACACATAAGAAATGTGCTATTGATCCTGAACTTCCTCTACCTCCCTGTTTTCCCTCTCTTCAGCCAGTACTCTGGCATGAAGATTCAGGCATGACTTTCATGTATCTGGAGAGGCTTTCTCAAAGATGGAAAAATATATGCACTGGGGAGTTACATGGTTAAACACCATTCTAAATCTATTTGCCATTCCAGAAAATGACCCAGCCATGAGGCTCACTAATATTCTGATAAGGAAATATGTCAGTTAAAACAGAATCTCCCTCCACAAAAACATCCCACACAGAAACTCACTGTCATTAAAAATCTATAGTGCATGCTACTGCATATTCTCATAAACTACTATGTAATTTTTCAACAGCATTCTTTTCTCAATTTATTGTTTATAAAAGATCAAATAAATTAAATCCTTCAGGAGTTTTAAAGACACATAAACAGAAAAAGAGGTTGAGAAATTAAAAATTTTGGGCTTTCCCAACCACAACTTCATTTATTCTTCGTAACATCCTGTGACATTAAAATTATTTTTCATTTGAGAGTTTCCTGACATGGATGAGTCCAGTACATAATTAGCTAGTCATAACCCTCATGACCAAACAGGCTAGTAAAATCTCATTCTCATCCTTTAAAAAAAAGTTATTCTGGAAGTGCTGGAGAGTGATATTGGCCAAAATTATATTATTATATTGTGTGTTATATTGTGTGCATGTGCAAATATGCAATAACAAATCTTATCATTATGTACAACTATAATGCATCATTTTTTAAAATGGAAGAAATAATAAAGGTTGTCCACAGAGAATGATGAGTATATCATTGTATAATATATGGTTGTTATAATATAATATATGGTTCTTTTATTATTCCAAATGTCGTTGTTAGAAAAGGAAAAATGGGTGGATTAGAAAAAAAAAAGAAAAAAGACATAAAGAAAGTTTTGGAGGCTAAAAGCAACAGATAAAGATCTTGGAAAGGAAAAGGGGAGGTGTTATTTCTCATTCCATAAATTACTGTAAAATTATGCCACTAAAGATATTCCTATCCATAGCTAAGGAACTAGAAAATCCACAGAGTGCCAGGTATGAGCAACTGTATATTCTATGGCTCTTCTTTCCCCTTGATGGAAGAATAGGAACACCTTTTGATGATCACTTCAATGAATGGAGTGTCAGTCTGATGCTGTTCATACTATTTAATCATGCCACACCTGCAACACTGGACAGAGCTCTGAGAGGTTTTGCTCTGGCAAGAATTAAAGGATTCAAATAGGAAGTTCCTGCTGGTGCTATGTGGCTGGGTCTATTGTGAAGACTGCAAAGTCAGCACAGACAACACAGTCTGCAGAATGCCTAACTGCTCACTTCAGATATCTCCTCCTTTGCACAGTTCCAAAGTCACCACTCAACTCACCATAGAGGGCAATATTTCTGGGGACCGAAAGAGCAGCAGCTCTGCAAACAATAATGAAGACTGTGCCAACAGTATAGCAGACAGGACAAGAGGTCATCAGTAAGAAGTTGTGCCTCTTTATGGGGTATTTTCATTGATGCTCAGCATATTCATCCCTGTTTATCATCCCTGTTTATGTGAATGGCAATCACATTCCACTGAATTTTAATGGTGTACAAACATGGCAGATATCATTCATGATTATCCAGTTTTACTCAGAATGCACAATCTTTTGCCCATGGAGATTTAATGCAGCACGGTTGGACAACACCAGCACAGTTATCACAAATAATTTGGCCATTCTTGCTCTTTCCTAATATCACACTTTTCAGTGAAGGGCAGATTTTTTTAATATTTAATTTTGAGTTATAAGTGGACACATATCTTTATTTTATTTTTATGTGGTACTGAGAATCAAACCCAGTGTCTCATTCATGGTAGGCAAGTGCTCTACCTCTTAGCCACAACCCCAGGCCCTGAAAGGCAGATATAACTATGTGATGGTGTAATGGAGAGCTTCCTTTTATGTCAATCCAGATTGGTCAATTCATGCTAGCTGTTAAACTCCTTTCTATTTAGAATGTCTCCAGGTCCTCTTTTCTTTAGCAGAATTCATGAATCCCTAACAGTCAGAGGCTTCTCACACTGCCCCTTCCAACACTTACAAAGCAGTAGTGAAGAGCATGGCATCTGGAGCCAGACTATCCAAATTCTCCTTCTGGCTCTGCTGTGTAATCTGGAGCAAGTTAGTCAACCTTTATTAGCCTCAGTACTCATCCATAAAATGGAGGAAGCCCCTACATTGTAGGTTTTTCATGAAGTTCAGAGCAGTTAATAGAGTGGCTTAACAGTATAAGAAAAGCTCTATCTGTGTATCCTTATCTTGATTTAATGTGTGTATACTATTGTAATAGTTGGTTCTAATTGTCAGAATGTTTTATGTTACTGCTTTCAAAACATCTGGTGGAGACTTATTTTCCTTTTTTATACAAATAACCATAGATGTACTATATCTACATAGATAGTCTTAGATATATGGATGGATGGATAGGTAGGTAGATAAATGTGTAAATAACATGAACCAGTTCCCAACCTCATTACCTATGAGCTGTGACTTCTGACCATGTCTTTTTTTTTTCTCTTTGCAATGCTTAGGATGGAACCCAGGGCCAATGCATGCTAGGCAAGTATTCCACCACTAAGCTACACCTTCCAGCCCCCCATTTCTAATAGAAGGCTTCCTGATTCTCTTTGATTCCAATCTATTTATAATTCCTTCCATCCTTTAATGCAGTATACTTCTATCTAAATATACTGATGGGGAAAGGAATAGATGGGGGGAATGTACAGTTGAGAAGAAAAGAAAATTAGAAATATTTCATGCTTGCCTGACCAGAAGATTATATGACCTGTCCCTGATATTTCATATTGGTGGTTGGAAATAATCATCTATTTGACACTTAAGTCACTTGCATTAGAAAAAAAAAAGAATAGAAACAGGAAGAAAATACAATTCTACTTTCAGAATTACTTTAGTTCAGCTGTGAATACTTTAATACTCAGTAATTAGTAAATCTTAAACTATTAAGTGGTTTTAGTAGAAAACTGACCCATTAAAAGAAATGGCCCAACTCCCCCTTGCAAATAGGTACACCATCCTCTTGAGGCTACTTGTATAAAGTGATCAGTACTCCCAAAGCAAAATGCCTTCAGCTACATGAGGTCCACACTCATCAGCTCAGCCATTCTTGATCATGAGAAAAAAAAATGACTGCAAGTCAAGGTCAGTAGAGAGAGAGAAAAAAAAAATGAACACAAAAGACTGGTGTGCTTAAGATTTCAGTGTGAAATCCTCATCATCCTTTCAATTCACCATGAATTAAGCCAGGGACGCATGACATGTGCTGAAGTTGGACCAGCAGTGCAAGCTCTACGGATGTGCCCATCTGGTATGCAGGTGTTTGCACAGATATTCCCTGACTAAACTTCCAGGGGGTAGCATTTTTGTGAAGCTGGCTCTACACTAGTATAGAGAAAGAAAGAACAGGAGAACAGGGGGACCACCCACTGATAGTAAATGGTGCCACTTCTCGGTTCACCACATACCCTCAAAGAGTGGTTTTCAAATTTTACATGCATCAGGACAGTTTGGGCAACTTCATAAAAAAATAGAATCCTGAGCTTCTTTTAGAAATTTACATCTTTATATTTATGATGTATTTAAAGAATCTATTTTCAACAAACATTCCAGGTTATTCCAGTATAGCTATTTCTTAGTCAACACTTAGACTAACACATAAAGTGGGTAAAAGAATATGTAGAAAATAAAAGATATTTTCTCCTATAAAGTTTTCAGCCATTCTTCCTGTGACTCTTGCCTAACATAATCATGAACAGAATATTTAACCATAAAACTGGAAATAAAAAGTGTTTAACCAACAAAACTCTGGGCATTCACAAACCATTTTAAAATAATTTGTCTGTATTTGTTGGTTTTTATATCTATAAAGGGCAATTAACAACAACTCTAGTTTGGAATACCAATAATATATATGTATCCAAAGTTGACAACACTAAACTCTATCATGATCCTTTGCCCAATTTCACTTGATTGTTTTTAAAATTTGTTATCATAGCCCACATCTTAGTCTCTGCTATCTTTCTTTTTTTAAATTAATTTTTAGTTGTGGTTGGACACAATATCTTTACTTTATTTATTTATTTTTATGTGGTGCTAAGGATCGAACCCAGGGCCTCACATGTGCTGGGCAAGTGCTCCACCGATGAGCCACAACCCCAGCCCAAGTCTCTGCTATTTTTCTGTGACCACATTAATTAATTATAAACAGGAGTCCCTGAGGCAGTCTTTCTTGAACCAGCTCCCAGCAACCAAGAACCAAACTTATCCTGAGACTAGGAAACAAAAAAAGGAAAACATATCTGAGAAAATATTCAACAGTCAAATCATGGAACCAGTTTTGGACTGCGTTGAGTTTACTCAGTAGGAGCTAAGAAGACACTAAAGCACCTGATTAGAGGTGAGTATGGCCACAAATAGAGACTGTGCATTTTTAGGCTGTATACTCTGAGTATTTTCTGATAATTTATATGAAGGTGTTCAGCTGAAAACAAAAGGGATGTACATTAATGACATACAGATGTGATGAAATTAAATTATAAATCATATAATTATCCATACATCAGTATTTTCCTCTCTCATTTAAAGTAAGAAAAAACAGAGAGTGAGAGTCTAGCACTTCTCACAAATCTTAAGAGTAAATTTCTAAGAATAAAGTCTATTTAATAAGCACTTACTGTATGCCATGTTATGTTAGGCACTGTGCAGATACTAGGGAGCAGAACTGGGAGGCTCTCCATTCTCCAGATGTTTACAGTATGTTGAGACAGACATTCAACAAATAGTCAAACAAGCTGTGGGTTTTCCACACAGGTCTTTGCTATTCCTTCAACTTCTAGCAATACTGTGCTTTGATTTCTGTTTTCATATGAGAGCCCTTTCCCTATTCCACCTTTCTTTAAGGGCCCCTAAGTAATCATCAGAGGTCTCAAACCAAATGCCTGGAGACCTATTTTACTTGGCCCACATAATGCTGAGGTCCACTTTTTTAAAAAAAAATTGAATTTCTTGCCAACATAAAATATGAACTTCCAGTTTCTCTTGAATATTTGCCACAGTAGACATCAATTTTCACAAGGCAACAAGTGCCTGGAGCTGAGCAGCAGCTGCCCCATTCAGAAGTAGTGCTGCCTACTTGGTCACAGTTACACAAAATCCCTGTCACCTTGCTGACACCATGCCAGGGGCCTTCTGGGATTGATCACATCTCCAGTTGCTATTTTTCCTAAAACTGGCTCAGTTCACCCATCTACTCACCAGATCCTTTTAGCTTAGTTGCCTACTCTACAAAAATTAGGCAATCTTTTTACCAAATTCTTTTTAACATATTCTCTCCCTTATTCTACTGCTACTCAGGTTTCTAGGCTAAGTAATCAAATGGATGAATGGCTAAAAAAAAATGTGTTATATATACACAATGGAGTTTTATTCAGCCATAAAGAGAAATTAAATTATAGCATTTGCAGAAAAATGGATGGAACTAGTGACCATCATGTTAAGCAAAATAAATCAAACTCAGAACGTTTAGGACCATGTGTTTTCTCTCATATGCAGAAGTTAGAGAGGAAAAACAAGAACAAAGATGAGGTGGATCTCCTAAAAATCAAAGGAAGATCAGTAGAGGAAAGGGACCAGGGAGGAAATTCTGGGGAATGATACTGGCCAAATTATATTGTGTGCATGTACAAATATGTAATAATAAATCCCATTAATATATACAGCTATACTGCACCAATAAAAAATGAGAAGAATTTTTAAAAGCTATTCCTCAGTTAATATATTTACTCAAATACCTCTTCATCTTCTCTTTCCAACTGTGCTTTTTCTTAGATTCATTTAGTCCAAGCAAACCAGCCTACTTATTAGGCCCAAATAGAACCTGCTACTTTATTTCACTGTCTTCAGTCTTACTAGAATCTCTATCTAGAATTCAAGTTATCTACCCATATTCTGATAGTCCAGTTATGTCAATCCTAGGTCCAGCTCCAATCTCACGCCTTTTGCAAAGCCATTCCTGACTTCCCCAGCTGGGTATGGCATAGCCTCCCTGGAAGCACTTCAGCTGAGCTTCCACTTAGCCCCTACAGATTTCTACCTCACAATGTTTTAGATCCTGGAAAGCTAAGTCCTGTCTAACTTATTTCCCATGTTTTGTTAGCACAGCATCTGACAGAGGATTCTTAGCATTTTGCACAATAAATAGAGATTCTATTTAAAACTAATTTTCAAGAGAATAGGAAAGTGCAGAATGTATTTAACCTCCAATGGGATCCTGATGGCTATTTCCAATACCTAACCTATGCATATGTATGATTATTTGGGAAATCATTTTGTGTTGTTTTTGCCTACGACTTTCTACGTTAGCCACTCCTATACACATGTCCAGTGGGAACATGCTCATTCATTCCACATGTTTTGGTAGTTTCTCAATTATAAGCTAGTTTAAGAGATTTTTCTCTTTTCTTCCATTCAGAAGGTTACAAAAACACCTTTAATCCTTAATCCTAAACTACAGTCTTGTTTTTACTTGGGTTCGAGGCCTGGGAAGCAAGAACTTTTAGCTGCCATGCCTTAGCTATGAAATAAGTGTTTTATTAACAAATGCCTTTAATTTATATTAAGGATCTATTTGTATATTGAGTTCTAGAGTTAGGATGTGTCCTGTGATTTTTGGTATGGATGTTAATTACTACTCAATATAAGGGCAATTTGCGTTTCTCTAAAGAGATAAGGGAAAAGCACAAGAATACATATGTATATTCAGAGAACTTAAATTTCTTATCCAATTTCACATCCTTAGTTAATGGAATCATCTGGACTACCCAAGTTGTGAAAGGAATATGAAGAAAATAAAAATGAAAAATGATCTTGTGTCCCCACCCACTGCTTCCAGGCAAGACTGTCCCAGTCATCAGTCATCCATTCAGGTGCTCAATTAGCTTGTCTTGACAGCCCTGTGCTAAAGCACCTGAGGCACACACAAAATTCCCCTCCTCATTACTTAACTGGTTTCACTCCTAAGGTCAAAAGAAGTTTTGTTTTGTTTTGTTTCTGTTTTATAAGGCAATCTTGAAACCACAGTCTCACCTCCATGCTCCTGGTTCTTCTGTGTCCACCAGTCATTCTAAAATAAAAATAAATGAACAAACATAAAACAAAATCTGTTCTAGCGGCAAAAAGTTTCAGACCTTAAAGAGCAGTCAGATCAGGATCACCACTCAGCTGACTCATGGAATCCAGCTGGGCTAATTAAAGTGCTCAAGATGGGTATTTTTTGTTCCAATCTGTTCCCACACTCAGGCTAGACCTCCATTTCCCCTATTTCTGAACTGCTGGGGATGTCAAGTTCTTTCTGGCTATATCCCAGGCACAATCCCCTAAGATCAATGGAAAGGTTTGCTGCTGGACATTGACCAGAAGCCTTTAAACTGGTGGATTCCCCTTTCCTCACTTGTCACTATACCCTTCTGACTGCCTGATGTCCCTTCAGCTCTCATTTCCACTGTCTTTACTGTTTCTGGGTAGATGAACTATTTTTTTTCTCTCTCTCAAACCTGGGTAATCATAATGTGCCCTGGCCCTGTTTCCTGATATCAGTCGCCCCAACTCTTCATCTTTTTCTAATAAATGGAAGATTCTTTTTATAACTGGTATCCAAACCCTTGTATTTCTAAACTAGGGGCTAAAGAAACGAAGAAGACCAAAACTGTCTTCCGTTAATGTACTGTTAATGAAACTTAATGCAAAGTGGAATAAGAAAAGAAAAAAGTCACTAAGTTCAGTCATCCATATTATTCAGTCCATAATATTCAATCAAGTCCTATATAGGTGATTTTTGAAGTGAAGATCAATGAACCACTGCCCCTGAATCATTTGTGAGAAGGCAGCAGAGGGAGTGCCGCTTCATCAAGTGCAGATTCCTGGGCTCTACCCTGTACTGGCACCCGAAATCTCTGAAGATCTACTAAGAATTAAATTTTTCTTGCAAATTCCTAATTCCTCTTTTAATGTATATCCAAATTAAGGAACATCATGCAAGTATTTCTGCTTTTGTTGTATTTCAACTTATGTTGAAATTTAATTGCTATGGTAAGAGTATTAAGAGGTAGAATTTTTAAGAGGAGAACAGGTCATGAGGGTTTTGCTCTCATGAAGGGACTAAAGCCTTTATAACAAGAGAGAGTTAGTTGTCAAAAAAATGAGTTGTGATATCAAGGATAAATTGGACCCATTTTCCTCTCTCTGCCTCACCCTTCCACCACATTACGACACAACCTGAAGACACCAGATCGGGCTCCTTCATCTTGCACTTACCAACCTCTGGAGCTATGAGTCAAATAAACTTCTATTATTTATGACTTATCCAAGTCTCTGGTATTCATTCTCAGAACAGATTAGGACAGTCTCTATTGTCCTTTAGAAATAGTAATTCTTGACCTGTATTTGTCAAGTACCTAAAACTTAGGTCTATTCTGTGCTCAATATTGTACTTAATATGTGATATTAAAAGAACTGGAGATATAGCAGAAAATTAATAAAGGATTTCCTTCCTCAGGCATTTTACATTCTGGTGAGGAAAAGAGATTTGTGGTCAACATAGCAAGAAAGTAAAATGAAAATTGGTGACAAATGCCAGCTACTTCCTAAGAACAAAGTTTACATTCACATACACACAAGCATATTCATATACTATATTCTTTATGTATTTCAATATTTAATTAAAATGACAAAAGATTAAAGGAAAAATTAACAATTGCTAAAACTTGTGGGGTTTTGTTGTTGTTGTTGTTGTGTTGTTTTGTTGTTGTTGTTTTGTAATTTCCAGGAATTGCTTCAGACTATTACTTTTGATTTTTCTAGAATCTTTTTAGAGGCTTATATAAAGACTATTAAAATAAATCTGCCCTTATTAATAAAAAAATGAAATACCAAGCCATAACAGATAAATTCTGAATAAGGATATAAATCTTAACCCACCCCATTAGAAAAGCAGTGCCAAGAGGAACACTGGAATTGGCGAACAGGCTCCACGGCAAGCACCCAGAGTACACCCAGGCTGTATGTGAGTACACTCCTGCTCTCCTGGCCTTCTAGCAAGACCTTGGCTACCAAATCCTCCCCAGGCTGCCTCAGAATTACCATGTCCCCACTCAGCATTTCACTAATAACGTAAGAGAAAGTCACAGATTAATGCCTTTCTAGATTTAAATAGAAATTGAAGGAGGAGGAATGAAAAGCGTAGAAGCATCTGTGAGCCGAGCTGCCAGCTTCACAAACCCTCTTTGCTCTTGCACAAAGAACATATTTCATTTGAGAGTGTGAATGTATGTGTGACCAACACGAAAGCTGAGGATTTTAAAAGCAGCCAGCAATCCCCAGGCCATTTCAGCTGTGTTTCTACTTCACAGAATCTCTTGGGGATGACTGGGAGCAGGTGTGAAGTTCCAGTTTATTAGCAAGTTAAGTCAGTGTTGCTGTGCACTTTGAGGGTCCTAATAGACTGGCCAGTTCTCCATGAATATCAAGAAGCACTGCACTGGGAAGACATTAAGAAATATAAATATTACTTCTGTTGCCTTTTAACTGCACCTGTTGGAGGTGCAGGCATTACACTGGGTAATTTAGATGCATCACAATGCTATTAAATTTATCAGGTAAATCAGTTAAGTCTTTTTTTCTGGATAAAGAACATGGAAAGGTTTGTTAACACTGACCATCCATACTGCGTCAAATGGAAGCTCTAGATTGTCTTCTCCATGTTTTAACTTTCATTCCTTGCTTCACTTTGCCAACAGCTTAAAATTTGGGCCATGCCTGTCTGTTAAGAACAGAATGACCCTTAAGGTTAGATTATGCATGAAAAGCTTTCAAAGACTAGTCTTCACCACAGTAGTTGAAATGTTAATGTTTATTTTTACTGGGCTATGAGAGGGCATCAGAAGGATGGAAACACAATGTAAAGTTTTGGAGCTAGATAGAACTTAAATAACTTATTTTGTTGAGTCTCCTAACTTTTGACTTAAAAAATATGAGGACTAAAGACAAGGTCTTTTGTATGATCTCCCACTTTTCATTTCATATTTAGGCTTTTGCTCCAACCATCTGGCTTTCCACATGTAGTTTTTCAAGCCAAAGAGAATTAATTTTCTGATGTTTTCATCCTTTTGTGATTTTTTTCTCCCTCACATATACTGTTCATAGGACTGGGAGGCCAGAAAAGCCAGAGCAACTGACAATGTTTTTATAAGTGACAACCACCAGGAATCATACCAGTATCCCAGAACCACAAATATTTATAACTGTGACTGGATGGGATTGGTTTTAAAATTTGGAGGTGTTAAACTTTATTTCCACAAAAACTGCATTATGGCACTGGGATATGATAAAGGATTACTGAATAAAAGAAAATACATGTAAATAATGAATCCCCACTTTCATAACATAGAAAGCTTCCTATCAAGCAGGAAGCTTCTCCATTCCTGATTGCTACTGTCAGGTGGGCGGGAATGCAAGCTGTTCCCATGTGGCTTTGTGATCATTTACCCTACTATTGAAAAATGAAGTTCTTTTTCTAATCTTTCTCTATTTCTTTGATAAACTAGAAAAATCGTTCAAGTGTAAATACACCAAAGAGAATTACAGAAACTACCCAGCCTCCAGGAGGAGAGACTATGAGAATCATTCTTAGAAAGCTCAGAAGAATCATGTGAACTATCTTCAAATATCTGAAGGCCTACCATGGAAGAAAACCAAGACTTGTTCTTTTGTTCCCAAAGAACATTACTGATAAGAATTCTATTTATTATTAACTGCCCACCAGTATCAGGCACCACGCAAAGGCTTTTATATATTATCTCTAATTCTTATATCAACTACAAAGTGGATTAAGTTATCCCATTTAATAAGTGGAAAAGGTGTGTGTGGGGGGGGCAGTGAACATTGTGCTTAAGCTGCTTACCAAAGTCAGACTGTGGGTTATCAAGAGACCCAGGTTCTAATCTACCTCTGCAAGTGGCCATTCTTCCCTTCTAGTTGCTCAAACAAAACCTCTTGCAATTAGTCTCCTTTGAGTCCTTTCACACCCTACATCTAAACCTTGAGCAGATTGCATCTGCTCTTCACCTTTCACAGTACATTGAAACCTGAAGAGTTCTTACCACCTCGGCTGCTGCCAGCTTGCTCTAAACCATCCACATTATTTATTACACAACGCAGCCCACCCATATTGTTTATTACTCAGCTTCCTCCTAACTGCCCTCCCAGCTTGTGCCCATGGCTCCTGATGACCTACATAAAATACAACAGCTGAGGTCATTTATGAAACAAGTAGTTAGAGTATATCTCCTCAGTTCAAAATTATCCTAGCTCTGTAGGAATAAAAGCCAAGGTTATTATGATGATTTCCTGCACAAGGCTCTACCCAATTTGGTTGCTGTTACTTTCCCATCTCCTTATTACTCCTCAAGAACTCTAGCTCTAGGATTTTAATACTTGCTTTTTTCTCTTCCTGGAATGTCTTTTTCTGAAATATAGCTATTTCATTTCCACCTCCTTCAGAACATTATTCAAAGTCATCATCTTAACAAGACTTTCCTCAACATCCAGTTTTAAATTTGAAAGTGTCCTATATAGTTTTAATTGTTTTCCACAGTCTATATTACTATCTAAAGGACCACATTTCTTTAAAATTTTGTTTTTCGGCTATCTCGTCTTCTCCTTATATAAAATAAATTTTATAAGCAGGAATTTTTTTCTATTTATTTCTTTATGTCTAACACTTAAAACAGTATCTAGTACCACCTACTAGGCATTTCATAAAATGTCTGTTGAATAAATGACTATGTCCCAAGACCATGGGTACTTCTGACCCACTTGGACTTAAAGAAAAATATCACTAAGGTAGGCCCTCAATATTATGGGATCACAGACAACCAAAGCTGAAAAGCACCTCAGGATCATCTATTTCTCTATGTAGGGCCATTTGAGAGATAAATTTGCTTACAGTGTCTTCAAAAATCTTACAGAACTCTGTGAAGTCAAAATAGACTTCACCACCACACAGGGAAAGTAATGTGTTGGGGAGAGGAGATGCTAAATTCCTTAACTTAAAAGACCTTCCCAAGCCTGGAATCTGCAATTTCTGGACTTGTCCTGCCCTAGGCTGGTTTCGTGTCCTGGGGTCATGATGTCTTCCACAGCTGTATGCTGTGAGCTATCCTCCAGGAGGTATAGGGTACTGGCACCATCTGTTTATAAGATCTAGGAACATCTCCTCTTAGCATCAGAATGAAGGCCAGAAACAATGAATAAACATCTCTAGGTGCCCCAGGTCTCAGGAATGGGAAAAATCAGGAGCCAGAACAGCCCTATTGGAAGAGGCATAAACAAAGCAAAGGGGCACAGAGTCTGTCTTTGGTGGTACTCATGACTACATTTTCTTGTCTCTGCAGAATCGTAAACAGTCCTCTCTAGGACACAATCAAATCGTACACAATCTCTAGAAGTTTCTAGAAGATATTAAAACTGATAATTCTTTCTCATATCTAGTACTTTGCAAATGATCTCAAATTTAATATATATATATATGTATATATACACACAAACACATATGATCAAATAAAATGGTCCTTTGACTTACAGTGTATTGTTTTTTATTCAAAGTATAAAAATATTGAAACTTTTTCTTTTTTAATGAAAAAACAAGAATTCAGGGAGATCACAACCTTTGATCAAGGAACCCTACATAGTTCTAATTCTAATTAAACTTTCATATTTTTAATAGTCATGGCTATCTGTAGCCAAAGACTTCTGCCAATGCAGAAAATATTAAGTATAATTGCCCTCTGGTGCTGAACTGAAACAGAATTAAAATTCTTAAAATTATATTTCACCCCACATTGCAGAAGTTTCCTTTTGAAGTCACATAACACACATCAAAACCTCCAATGAAAGACTTTACTGGCTGTGAGATGCAACTAATTGATTTCAGGGATAGGATTTTTATTTTTTATTTTTATAGACCTGAGAGAATTTGTTTTAAAAATAACTTCAGGGTTCTTGGAATTACCAATTTAGTTACCCTGTTTATTGCATCTGAAGGATCCACCAAGTTGCAAAGTTATCTTCTGTTTCCTTTTTCTCTTGTCTTTAAACCAATCATAAATATCTCAAGTTTTAACCTTGGATAAAAGATAAAATGTGCACATGGAAGTAAATTTAGCAAAGAGTTACATGAATCACTGAATTATTATTATAAAATTATACAATATCTGGGCTGGGGATGTGGCTCAAGCGGTAACACACTCACCTGGCATGTGTGGGGCACTGGGTTCGATCCTTATCACCACATAAAATAAAAAATAAAGATGTTGTGTCCACCAAAAACTGAAAAATAAATATTAAAAAATTATCTCCCTCTCTCTTTTCTCTCTCTTTAAAAAATTATACAATATTATAAACTCTTTGTCATAATAAATAAGCATTTCAATATGAATTAAAAAACACTTACAAGGCCTATGTAACTGGGAATAAGCTGAATCTTGGAAGCATTTTTAAATCTGCTATCTTATTGTTTGAATGTGGTAGAGGCTAAATTGAAGATTGTATTTACAAGAGCAAAGCATTCTTTCATTTGTGCTTATAGACTTATAGACTTAGTGGCTTTGAAATTCATGATCTGCGAATAAGACAATTGGTAGAAAAATAGATATCATATTTGATTGTGTAAGAGAGCTATTCTTCATGATACCTTGAAAGTATTCAGTAAATGCTACTGGATCAAGAAATGATGTTATCTATGCTATTTTTCTTCTTCAAGATACTATTTTTTCTTTCACTTTCCACACTGATAAATCGTAGGTATTTAGAAAATTCGTCCTGAAAAATTCTCAAGATATTATTTTGCATGTATTTCTGGAAATATCTAACTTATTCCAGAGCAAGAAATGGACATGAAAACACCAGCAGAGTTGGCAGGTGTCACCATGGCTTGGGTTTAAGGTAAATACAACAGGAAGTGACCAGGGGTAAAGGGCCTAGAAATGGTGCATCTGGTCCAAGCTGGTGGCATTTACTGTGAAATCTCAAGCAGGCCAGAGCCCTGTGTCTTACCTGCCTCTTCTACAAAGGAAGCAGAAAGGTAGAAGGACACTGTGCTTTACATCAACAAATCCATTGTGGTCACATTCTTTAGCCAATCAGTGTACAGAAATCAAAGACAATTCATGTCCCTGTGCCTGAGATTTGTCCAAAAGGAAGCATTAGCAACAACCAAGAGAGACAAATCTAAAACATCTGGTCCTAGTTCAACTACTTGGACCTACATGTCTAAAACCTATGACTATAACTATGGCCAGCAGCCTTACCAAAATAATTTGGCACTTTTACTTCAACCTGAGGTAACAGGAAATGATTTCTAAATCGGCAGTGCTCGGTTTTTGTTTTGTTTTGTTTTGTTTATCCAAATAAACTCCAGGAGAGAAAAAAATGCTGAAGACTTCCATATAAATCATTCTCCTTATGTTTACATTTAACTGCCTTACTACATTCATCTAATTACTTTAGTCTGTTTTCTCTTTGCAAGCTCAGCATGGTTATAAATACAATAAAGAACAACACTTCTTCCACCATCACCATTCCCATCCCCAAATAAGTTCCAAAAAACACATTGCAAAGATTACATCCTCCTTAAAGTTTTCTTTTTTCTTTTCTTTTTTTTTTTTTTTCAGGACCAAGTATTGAACCCAAGGCCTCATGCTTGTTATGCAAGCACTCTACCACTGAGATATATTCCCAGCCCCCCTCCTTAAAGTTTTCTTATTCCACACAAGTGCATACACACACATATGTAGCTGTGTGTCTGTGTGTGAATGTACATATACACATGTGTGTGTCTGTGTGTTTCATTGACTCTTTCTATTAGTAAAAAGTAGTGACCATATTTCTCCAGTCAGGATTGATTTTATTAAGCCACATTGTAATGAATTCTCATCAGCTCAAATCGGGTGTGTCTCCTCCTTTGTCAGTACTTCACTGGTTGGATATACATAGTCCTTGAATGCTTTACCCAGAAATGACTAACAAGAAAATTGGAGGCCTTGAGTTTTCTTGGAAGTGCTGTCACCTGCTTTATGTCATTATTAGTTTTCCTTTTGGTCTTTTTGCTTCTTGACAGCTTACTCATGTCATCTGCATACGTTTTCAGAATAATGATGGTAAGCAACAGAACTGCTTTTAACCTATGAAAATCAACATTTCCTTAATGATACTTTCACAGAGCTAGAATATCTCCACTGTCCACATGGAGACATTAAATAAATCACTTTTAAAACTAGCAAATTATGGGAAAGATTGAGCTTTCCAGTAGAAAATAGATCTTAAGGCAAACAAAAAGCCACAGTTTGTGAGAAAAAGCTCTGGTTTTAAGAAGAATGACAGGTAACGTATGTTAAAAAAAAAAAAAAAGACAGAAGTAGTAAATTATCTCTTTGGAAATTAATAAAGTTGGTGGTTAAGTAAGAATTTTATCGAGTGATATAAATCCATAAGATAAGAAGATGGGGGAGGGATCAAACATTCATGTAGAACCAAGGGTGCACCACATAGTTTGCTTTCTGGTCCTAAGAGAGAAAGGCAATGGTATAGTGACAAGTTAGGAAACTATATGCAGTCTTATATAAGTGGTCAGAAGCCCAAATATTATATATATCCTGACATAAAGCAATATGGAGTACATAAGATTGGTGAGTGTGTGCTCTTACCAGAATATTTCCACACAAAGATGCAAGATCAATCCAGAAACTTAATATATTCCACAAAACGTGTTCTCTTTTTGGCAATTCAGTGGTACTCTAACCTTAAAAGGGTTAAATGATAAACACCCAAATGTAACTGGTTATCCTGAATTAGATTCTGATATGGCCAAACCAGCTGTAAGGACATTTTAGAGACAATTTTAAGAGATTTGAATATGGAATGACTATTAGATAATATTACACAATTATTGTTAATTTTGTTAGATATAACACTACTGTTTTGATTATAAGAAAGTGTTCCTTTTTATAGATACATACCAAAGTATTTATAAGGTGAAATTCCATGATGTTCATAGTTTTCAACAAAATTCCTCAGGTTAGTAAAAAATTAATTGACAAGGAGAAAAGTAAAAATGAAACACTTTCTTCAGAATAAGTAAATATAAGCTTCAGACAGCATCCTCAGATGAAATGCTTCTGGCCAATGACTCCCTACTTAAACATCTAAGTCTTCTATGCACTCTTAAAATTATAATAAATTCTTTTCATATATTGAACACATAGTATTTTTTAATTCACTGCTTATCCAAAAGAAGTCAGAAGAACCCTCCAGAATGAAAGCACCATTTTCATTTTCTAGCAGTTCTCAAAATGCAGTCCCTGGAGAAGTAGCATCAAACAGCACCCAGGAACTTGTTGGAACTGCAAATCATGAGCCAATCAAAAGTTTTGTGGGACCATTGAGTGATGTGTGTCCTGCCCCCTGAGATGGCATACATGAGCAAGGGAGTTTGTAGTAGGTGTTCTAGAGTTCCCATTTCTCCCAGAGGAATTCACATTGTCATTGCTAAGTAGTGTGCACACCAAAGAAAAGAAAAAGCAAGATCCAGAATTATATAATTGATGTGTAGTCTTTATTCTTCTCTGTCAGTGTCTTCATTCATGAAATGAAAAAGTAAGAGAACATTTTTTGTTGTATTGAATGTTGCATTATGTTTACAGTACAATATTGTAGGGCACTATTGAAAACAATGAACTTGTTCTGTTTATAATTAGTATACTTCCCAGACTCCAGGAGAGCCCTCTATAGGTCAAGATGCAATAGGGGCCATTTAATGGGCTAGAATTTGTGATCCAATGTAAATGAAATCTTCCCTCAAACACTTCACAGGATTCCAACTGATGGGAATTTCTAGCATCCTATCTACAATGTTCCAATTCTCTAGGGACTTGCTGTGTCTCCACACTAAACTGTACGTTCTGAAGATCAGGGACCATGTCTAAATGCTGTAAAATCCACTACACCACACATAAGACTCTGGGAAGTCAGCAAATGTGAGATTCTGTGATGCTGATGTTTTCCCGTATCAGTGGGAAGTCAGAGTTTTGAGACATTCCATAACACCATCATTTTCTCGTGTGCCATATCAGAAACCTAAACCAATACACCTGATGTGCTATCCAGTGTGTTGGCCCCAGGACTTACCACCAAATAAGGAGAATGTGGTACGTGGAATTATAGGCCCATCTTCATGTCAGAGGTTTTGAAACACATTTAGCTATTTGATGTTCATTATAAGAGGCGCCCGAGACTAACTAAAGTCAGACACTATTTGTTGTACCAAATAGTATTATACAAGGTTTGTGTTAAAGCATGACCAGGCTGGTTCCTTAGTCTATTCTTTCAGGAGTGAGGGTCTCAGGCTGCCCAAAAAGCACAGGCACTCCTCCTCGCTGCAGGGGAATTTTGTTATATTATGCACAAACCCTTCCATGGGGACACCTGTTAAACACAGTTTGCCTGCTGCCTGTGCCCTTCTGTTTTAGCACAACCCACTGATGGCCAGTCACAACAATTAATGAGGACACTCAACTGAAGGCCGATGTCACGAGGCGCAGAAAGAGAAAGGAGATTTGACATTTCTAAAGTAAGAAAATTCAATTCAGGTCTGAATTAATAAAGAGGAAAATGATATACTGAACAGAAAATAAGCAAGTGAAAGCTGTAAGGGAAGGCAACAGGGAAAGGAGGGGAAAGTAATGATGAATTATGTAAAAGAATTCATTGGGAAATAGTCCCATTTCACTCTTTACTATTCTGTTTCATCCAATCTCCAAGCATGCAGTTATGTGACAAATTGTACTGTGACTATCTACCCTATTGCTACAAACACTTGAAGAAAGTCCCCACCTCCTAAATATCTTATCCCCATCTGAAATCACAAACTGCCTATGAGGGTAATTTCTATGTGTTGTCTGTATATTCACAAACATAAATATGTGTGACACACACACACACACACACATATGTGCTTATCACAAGTTCAGAGCAAAGCATTAGATCAGGTAGAGACGGATTTGAATTCCAGCTCTGTAACTCATAAACCATGTGACAGATGATAGGCAGTTACTTAATTGGTATATACCTCAAGTCTCCCCTATATAAGTGGAGACAATATCATTATTGATAACTGATGCAGAGTTAAGATAGCTACTTGAAGTTTTTCACAATGTCTAGCACAAAGTCAGAAGTGGTAGTTATTATCAATGTCTTATAAGCCTTTGTCCAACAAAATGTTACCATTTGTTTTTCTTATAAAAAAAATAAACTC